TTTTGAAAACTGTGTGCTATATCTGTAACTGACCATGTCGTAAGCTCCATACCCAAAGTTCTGAGTGAATTCGAAGTGTTTGAATCTTAAGACTTGAAAAGGGCTTCTATGCTTATTTGAAAGATGGGAACAAGAACTCCATTTGTGATAGTATCCAAAAGTGCCTATGTTGCACACGTACGCATCATTATTGAAACTAAGGTTTTCTCTTCGAGATCGAAGCAAAGAAAAGTTGCGACGTCGCAAGCGCCGTTCATGTTGCTGCACTTTGCTGCATCTCTTATTCGTGTCCTCATACTCCTGAACAGATACCGGCGGCACAGTCCAAGAGTCATTGAAAAGTGGAAGTTTAGGCTTTTGACATAATAATCTTGAACCAAAAAACCTGTAAACGTCAAGCATTCAAATTAGCGCGCTGCACCATGTGCAGCACCGGTCCAAAACGTGTTAAATCAACACGTCATAGTAAATGAGCCGGAATTTATGCAAGAATAGGCAATCTTCTTCGCTTCTTCAAACCTATTCGAGATTAGACCTGAAAAAACGAGCATACTTGTATGATCTCGCAGGAGCAAGGGTACCCTCAAAAATTACGAACAATGTTGCATTACAAGAGATAGAGCAATAAAAAGAGAAAAAAATGGAGCTTCAGTCAAAATTCAGGTTTGACCACTGAGGCCCGTGAAGAAAGTGCGGTTGTGATTGCCCAAAACAATTCACGACCAGGGTCGGGCAAGAGGTGAGGCACAGGACCGCAAATACGACTACCCCCCTTCCATTTCCGTTTCAACATACCCCTCCCTCAGCCATTTTTACCCACAGTAGGCATAATAGAACCCTTCCGTCATAGTTAGAAACATATTCGTATCAGGTTGTTGCGAAAATACTGCTCGTTTTGCGAAGTTTTATTTTGAAAAGCTGTAACTTTGTCCAGCTTTATATTTTTGAATGCAATCAAGACCATCAAAAGCAGTAAGCCTTTCTTAATCCAATGAACTTCTGCATATACTGATATACTGATATCGCAAACGGGAAGAAGAACATGCGTTAGAAAACCAAAAGTTTTTTTTCTGGAAACCTTGAGAATACAACTCCCTCAAGTTTAGTTCCTAAGGCTGCCGATTAGCTTACTTTGTAGACACAAGTCAGTAGTATATGTTTGTGTAGAAACAACTTCAACGAAGTGAACCTGCGAAAAGAAAAGATAGAAGCCCAAAATTGTTTACTTTTTTGAACCTATTTGTGGTTGACCAGAAGGCCCTAAACTATGAAACTTTGAAATATTTCAACTGAATAGCTAACTATTTTCTGCAAAAATCGTAGGCAAGGTGTTTTGACCTCAAGTAACAGAAATGAGCGAAGCTTCGGCGATTGCCCTAATCATGAGAAACTTTAAGTCCATAGAATGCCAGCAGGGAATATTATTTCAACCGATTTCTCGGTCCAGATATTTTCAAGAAGACTTGAACATGCTATGGGTAAACAATATTCAACCGATACAGTAGCTACGTTCTTAAAAGATTTCGTTCATTTGCGCTTGAATTGTGGCCATGGGAGTTATAGCAACGAAATATCGATTTTGAGTGCAGCTGTGAGAAATGCTGGTGAATCTTACAAATGAGATAGAAGCTTAATTCTACCACTGTTAGAAAGTACATGACAAAAGCTACCTAATGATATGCAGAATCTATATCGAGAAATAAACTACGAAGGAAAAAAGTTGTTTGGGAAGTAGGCCTAGAAAAACGGACATCATTTTTGCAACAGCCTAACTTAGCATCAAATACCCTCTGTAAACCAAGTTTCAGCGAACTTTAAGAGTTTCTAATATTGGGCCACACAAGTGGTCATTTTTAAACATGATGTGCTTTATTACAAAAGTGAGTTATTTACTTCTTTTTGCACATACAAAGCACTACTAATTATTTACTCATATCAAAAGGAATCAGGCTGAAATCACACTTATGAGTACTGGAAAGACTTATTGAAAGACTTATTGGCTTATTGAAATGTATAAATTTTATTCGCCAAGAGCCTTTTAGGTAAGTTAATGGGGTATGGCACAATTCCTAAAAAAGTCTGGCTGCCACACCTTTTTAGGGGTTGTGCCACAACCCATTAACTTACCTTCAGGTCATTCAAACACCTGCATTAGTTATATCACTCAACTATTCAACTTTCTTCTCTATACGCAGAAATTTCGTCCAAAATTAATTCTGTTAAAGGAAGATGTAGTCGTTTCGTTTTGTTGATTTGAGCATTTCACATCGTTTTTTCTTCTTATTTTTCATTTCAGGCACACATTCTATGTCTATATGAGACCATCGAGCAAAGTTAAAGAAAAGAGTCTTCTTCGTTTAGAGTGGTCTCATTTGAAAAAATCCATGATAGCCACCACTGCTGTGAACAAAGCGCACCCTTTCACCCCCTTTCACCTAGTTTGCCTCGGAGTGATAGTTCACACGATTTTGAAAGAGAATGTTTGGTAGGTAAAATGAGAGCGGAATTCTGGAAATATGCCTAGACAATTTTTTCCTTACCTTTCAGTACTCATCAAAATAGAACGTAGGTTAACAAGTGACTTACATGAAGACAAAAATAAGAAGAAAAAACTATGTGAAATGCTTGAATCGAAAAAGAAGGTAAAGGACAGTGTCGTTGCGAGCTACCAAGTCGCGGCGCGCTACAGCGTACTGTCAAGCTGGAAGGGCTCCAAAAAGGCACGCATGTTAGTGTAAATGCACAAATCGGGGCAGGCGTCGACGAATATCCTCTAACTCTCTTGGCTCTCATACAACTAATTTGAGAATCTCGCCTGATTTATTCTTTAACAGCTGCTGAAAGCAGAGTATTGAAACTGATATTGAGACAAATGAGATTTTGGCTGCCCAATTTCATAGCGCGGCGGCTATTGAAAGTGGATTTCTAATGTAAGCAAAGAAGGTTGCTTTGTACGGCACAAAAAGATGTGGCTAAATCGCCTCAAAAGCAATGTTAATCGTGATGTTCGAAATGGCATTCCATTTGGGTGATCCACTATTTGAAACCCCAGAATTCGCTAAATCTTGGTCAAGTGAAACCATCTGACATTAATCGTACCGTAGTAGATGGTAGGTCAATATCTCAGACACTGGGAGCGGGCGAGCCGCGGCCCAGTTCCGGCCGGGTAATCGCAGCTGCCGCGGGCCGGCCGTGAATGGACAGTCGGCTCAGCCGTAAATGAGCCGCGGCTCGCCCTAGTGGGCCGCGGCTCGGCCGGGAAGGGCCCGCGGCTCGGCTGTACTGGCTCTTTTTAAATCGTTCTAGCACTTCCAAAAATGGAAATTTTAGCTGGTTCTTTTAGCACATGAAGACAACAGACCAATCACATATTCATGACAACTCATTTATCTTCTGTGTCCAGAATATACATTAAAAAAAGTCACAATCATGAACAGAGAATCAAACAAGCAATCTACAAAAAATGATGATATTAATGCGCTGTTCTACTCCCATTGTTCTCAAAGGCGCAAATATGTTTCGTCATCTATCATCTCGATGTTGTCTTCGGCAGCCTCGACCAAAGCTTTTCTTTTCTGCCTCTAAAACATTTGGATAACGCTGAAGTAGCCAATATAATATGTACGAACTCACATTACTTGTTTTTTCGATGTCCTCCTCGGGCACAGCCACAGTCTTCCTTTTCTGTTTCTGGAACATTTGGATCGCTGAAGTAGCCAAGTTTATGTATCAACTCACATTACTCGGGCTCCACGTATTGTCATTCTCCTTGTATTTCATGCTCGGACATCCCTTCTGGAAGTCAAAGTTACTGATAATCAAAATAACTTCGTTTCACCACGTACAGAGCTTTCTGTAAGGCCTGATAAAGGTGTGGCCGCCATTGAGCTCGCTCTTGTCTCATCTGCGAAAGCTCTTTCCTTCTTTCCTGTTCATTGTTTCCCAAGCTTTTAGAAGCTAAATTAGAAAACAGTACACTAAATCTCTCTTCACTTTTGTAAAATTTGCAAGCACCTAGACGCTTTCAAATCACCTTCAAAACCCGGCACCAACTCCTCGTATCCGTAACCTAAAGCGTCCTGCGCAATGTCTGGAATAAAACGATTGAAAACTGAATGAGAAACACTGGAGATTAATCTCATGGTTACCTATAAGTATATCTTCTATCTCTGGAGGAAGATCTTTCAACTTTTCGTCCCTGCCACCAGCATTATTACACGAATCGCATATTCTTGAATTTTGTTTGGAGGATCCGTGATCTGAAACGATACTTACTCTAACAATTTTAGTCTGCTATCATTGTACACCTGCGTCAGAATGAGGCGGTACATGTACATAAGACGCTGGAAAGTTGTGAGATTTTTGAGTGGCTGCCACTTCTTCAAGACCGTGGCTATGATGGAAACTATGGAAAAAACTAAAAAAAAAAACTAAAAAACTAAACTAAAAAACTAAAAAACTAACTACTATGGAAACTTATGATTTCATTTATATATTTTTCTAGAATATCTTCTAGTTGAGGTTTTATATCTATTAGGTGTACTTCAATTCGCTGCATTCTCTTTGCTCTCTTGAAATTTTGTCTGCAAAAGCCGATTCAATATTATGGAGAATTTGGAACTTGTGAAGTGAGAACACCTGTAAATGCTGCACATTGCATTTTGACAATAATTTTGTGTCGCTTCCATGAGGTCGGTACAAGAGGAACAGAAATAACATATTCTGATGTTATAGCTTTCCAAAATGTTTTTGAAAAAACTTTCGATTTCACGATGCTTCAAGGAACGTTATTTTGCTTATGAAAAAACAAAAGTAGCAAAATATTTTCAACGAGACTGGTGACTCATGTTGATAAAGGACTTTCATAAGCTCCTCCAGATAACTGACTTGCACTTCGGAGAGACCAAAATGTAGAATATATGCAGAATAATAAAGGATGCGGGCAATTTGAGTTGAAATTGATGCAGTAAGGTAGCTCGAACAGACACGATATTGTCAGCTTACGTGAACGCTGCCTGTTTTAGGAAAGGTATGACTTGCATTTGGAAGATATCTGATTCGAATTCCATCGCAGATTCTTGATTTATGTGCCTGTCTTGAGTTCTCTGCCCGGTCTCTTCAATCAATCCGCGCGATCTTCTCAGCCGCCTTTCTATTGCTACTAAAAGAGTTGACTATTAACAACAGGCAAATAAGAATATTTGCCCTTTGCTGATCAATTGCCAACAGACAAAATGGGAATTACATACATCCGTATGCCCTCGGGCCTGTCCTGTTTAGACTACGGTATCGATCATCCGCAACATACGGGACGAATCGCTGTCGTCGTGCACGCCCTGCGCCCTGCTGACCTGGATGGACCACATATAATAAAAATACGAAAAGTGTGTGAATCACATTACAGAGTATATTATATTATATATATAATAGATATTATATTACATATTATATATGTTATATTCAATATTTGGTTATATATATAACTTAGTATCTCCATATAGTAGAACCAAAAGACTGATCCTCTTCACTTCTACCACATGGAGATAGTAAAAGTATCATGTGTGCAGAATTCTATAAGCCGAGCTCCTGGCTACATTGCATAGTATTCATGGACTCACCATTAATATATCCCGGCGCTGCGGGAAGCGCATTAGAATCGATGAAGATTGTCCAAGCGAAAGAACCGAAGAGCACCAACGCTCTTGTTGAATGGAAACTACCTTCGTCAATGACCATTACGAGATCATGACTAAGTTGTTAATTTGCATATATATATGCAAATTACAAGAGGCCTTACAGAAAGCTCTGTACGTGGTGAAACGAAGTTATTTTGATTATCAGTAACTTTGACTTCCAGAAGGGATGTCCGAGCATGAAATACAAGGAGAATGACAATACGTGGAGCCCGAGTAATGTGAGTTGATACATAAACTTGGCTACTTCAGCGATCCAAATGTTCCAGAAACAGAAAAGGAAGACTGTGGCTGTGCCCGAGGAGGACATCGAAAAAACAAGTAATGTGAGTTCGTACATATTATATTGGCTACTTCAGCGTTATCCAAATGTTTTAGAGGCAGAAAAGAAAAGCTTTGGTCGAGGCTGCCGAAGACAACATCGAGATGATAGATGACGAAACATATTTGCGCCTTTGAGAACAATGGGAGTAGAACAGCGCATTAATATCATCATTTTTTGTAGATTGCTTGTTTGATTCTCTGTTCATGATTGTGACTTTTTTTAATGTATATTCTGGACACAGAAGATAAATGAGTTGTCATGAATATGTGATTGGTCTGTTGTCTTCATGTGCTAAAAGAACCAGCTAAAATTTCCATTTTTGGAAGTGCTAGAACGATTTAAAAAGAGCCAGTACAGCCGAGCCGCGGGCCCTTCCCGGCCGAGCCGCGGCCCACTAGGGCGAGCCGCGGCTCATTTACGGCTGAGCCGACTGTCCATTCACGGCCGGCCCGCGGCAGCTGCGATTACCCGGCCGGAACTGGGCCGCGGCTCGCCCGCTCCCAGTGTCTGAGTAGCTGGTCAGGTAAGCAAAGCAAGAACCGCGGGTCGGCCGCTGCAATGAACAAGGGCCGCGGGTCGGCCGTACTAAGACCACGCCTTCAAATTAGGGCCGCGGGTCAGCCGTGATCTGGCCACACCCCCAAAATAAGGCCGCGGGCGGGACGAAAAGGCCTTTTAAGGCCGCGGCTCGCCCGCTTCCAGTGTTTGAGTATCACACTGTGCTTGCAATTCGTATAATTAGTTTATCTGACAGTCATCGCTAACGCCAGTATCACGTGGTCGATAGTAATGCGTGCAGCATGCGTATGCATGCGTGCATATCCTTGCTACACAGAGGCATGTACTATGGTAACCTTTACTTTGAGCGACATAAAAGAGCACAACCTCCGCCTCGAAAAGAAAATAGAAATCATCCGGGACCCCGGATTTTATAATCCCGACTATATCGGAACGAATGTGAATGAAGCAAATATAGAGTAGAATATCTTTGATTATCTCAGCTGTGCCGACAATGTCGGCACCCGTATGCCGTATCACTTTACTCAATGCTAAGTACCGAACAGGTCAATAAGCATGACCTGTTGTGATATGGCTATCTCTGTAGCCCAGATGCATGTAACCACCTTGTCACGCTCATTATATGCAGCATTCTACCACTGCGTCAATGCATTTCGTCTGACTCAATAAAGCTCTAAGCTTATGTCTGATAACACAGCAGAGCTACTTATTTCAAAGGCGCTATTCCGCCACATCAGCAAAATCGAGAATTTGGTTCTTGTAGCTTTCTTTACCCCAAAAAGGAGGTTTCTGTGAAACTTTCGTTAGAATTCAGGACAACATTTCTAAATTAACCTCTTGTTTGATTAGGTTTTAGAAGATTAGGAAAGCTGTTGGAGTTAAATAAAAACGAGAAACTGCGCTTGAATCTTGCGCAGAGAGTTGCGCACAAAAATTGCTGGTCTAACTCGTAAATGAGTAATTTTAACGCTTGGGATGTTATTAGTGCTCCTCGTCGTGTCATGAATCAGAATGATATGTAATGTTGTAGGGTTTCGTTGAGACCCCGCCGAAAATCTGCGACCAGAGCCAAATGCCCCGTTAACTCTGGTCTGCCTTTTCCTCTGCTCTTCTGCGTCTCCGCGCTATGCGCGCTACCTCCCTACCCCAAATGCGGGACGCGGAGCATTTGCCGCTGCATCCATTTTCCTCGTTGTCGACTCCACTTTTGGCAAGCTATATATCATGTTATAGCTCCTGATCTCTACTTTCACGCTGACAAAATCCCAAAACCATACTTTTTGATTTAAACGAAAAATCCGGCAAAACTCTTTCAAGGATCTCTTGTTTTTTTTCCCTAATTTAGCTCTTTTCACGCGGTTTTTTAGTGCATTCTATAGATCTTGTTTTTGCTCATGATGCATACAACAACCAGCGCTTATTTCTTCGATTATGGCGGAAGTTTTTTATGAAAAATTTAATAAAGTGCGTTTTTTCTTTATGTTCTGTTACAGTGCTTTAGCACGATTTTTTCCAGCTTAGACGTTAAAACTCAGAATAATGAGCGCAGCAATTTCCACAAGGTTCCAGAAAACGAGAACCACAATGCTGGGGTAAAAATTTACAGAACGCACCAGAAATTAGATTGACGCATTTTGCTCCGATGAGAACAAAATTCTGCAAAACTAATTCTTTCCTTGTTTATTTTCTCTTGATAATCGTTACTTCCGAAACACGGTTGGCTCTGGAATAAACACAAAGAAAAAACTAGCTTTTCCTCGTTTTGCCCCTTGTTGTGATTACGTTTCTGGAGCGAAAACCTGCAATCTACCAAATGAAAAATTTCAAACTTATTGCAGCGTTTTTAACCGATTTTCAAAAGTTTCTTTTGCTTTTACTAACTGTTTTGCATCATTTTTCCTTTCTGTTTTTATATGAACACCTTCACTTTTTAAGAGGGGCAGATTATCAAACAACCTTCACTTTTAAGACTGTCTCTAGACTATCGAAAAAAAACTGCGTGCCACACCCCGCGCTTGACCCTGTTCACAACTTAAGCACGAGTATGGTAAGATTGCATTGAAGATATACTACGGCGCTGCTGAGCACGTTTCCGACAAGAAATGGAATATGAGAAATGTGAATTTTTCGATAATCCTTAGCCGCGACCAGTAGTTTATCGAAAATTTCGATATCCTGAAACTTCACTTATTTCTACTATCATGTATAACGGTGCTGTAGGTTATCCTCAGTACATTTTAAGCGTTCCCCCAGGGGACCACACAAAATAGTGAAAATCTAATCTTGTATGATACCCTGGCAACCACTATGCGCAGGTATCAGGGTATGAAAACTTCCATAACCCAGATAGAGATAGAACAAGAAAGATATCTAGAGTAGCAAGATATGACGCTTCTTTTCTCAGACTCCTTCCCTTCCCCGCGGAGATGTACGTGCATACGCGCCTTAAGAGGTGAGTCAAAAAGTATCGGCGGAAGAAAGGTTAAAGACGGTGGCTCCGCAAAATTATGACTGCGAGGTTTTTCACACCTACATGGGCTTCTGGATCCGCCGAGTATGGGGTTGTGCTTAGAAAGTCAAAAAACTGCTGTTTGAGGCCTTTCCGACATTGGAAAAAATAAGGGGCTGGGCGAGGATTACCGCCTAAACAGCAACTGTCTACCGGATGCTGTAACCCCACCAGTTTTGACGCCAGTTGGCCAATCCCTTCAAACACTCAATTGCGATTTACTTGGTAATCACTTGCCCATCCCCTCCAGCAATCTCCAAGACGTAACACTTTTTTGACTTTTCAAACGCAGACTTAGACTCAGCGCATCCAGAAGGCCAAGGAGGGATGAAAGCTTGCGATTGCAATTTTCCTGAGCTATCGCCTTTGACCAAATACGGTACTTGCGCGTACAGCATGTTAAAATCAATGAGCAGCTTCTTTCTTGTTAGGCCTTGCCTGTGAGTAGTCAATTACCACTTCATGATTGTAGACACCTCGTCTGGGATATTCGCTAGGATGTGCAGTTAGTACAGATAGCGCAGCGCCATGTCGCAAGAAAATAAGCTAAAATTAGTGGCACAAGCCAAAAGTAAAGCAACTCTTTTGCGAAGCGATAATAGTTTTTTTTACGAATTAGAAGATTGAGAAGCATTTGGAGGAAAAACTGGCGCGCAAACAAAATGTTGAGAAGTATCTGGAAAATTTTCGTGAAACTTTCACTAACTTGATGCATAAATGTGTGCTACATTAGTTTCAGCACCCAATGCTTTTCTTATTAAAATGAAAGGAAAGCAACTAATGAATGGTAAAAAATAGACAAAAGCTTGGGTGAGAACAGCAAAAATTGCAAAGTACGATGAAATTAAGGCAGGAACAAAAAACAAGAGCGAATTGGTTGCACACGAAATTCAAAGCTTAACAGCAGCATTTCTGGCTGAACTAGATTTGAGGATGCGTTTAAGGAAAGCCGACTTACCTTATCTAAGTTTTAAAGCAAATAACTGAATAAATAAAAGCAGAAAAAGTAAATGCGCACTTCGCGTCTGCGGCAATTGGCTATCGATATTCATTGTATTTGACGTGCATTTCAATCCTTTGCGTGACTCAACGGACTGGCGGCACCACCACCAGGACGTACTCGACCGCTAGTGATGTGCCAGGCCCCACAACCTGTCTGGGTCTTCACCCACTATTTCTCGACTGTCCGCATGACGGGAACGCTGGAATGGCTTGTCGTGCGGGGCGAGTTGCCGCGGCGTCGCGCCAGGCATATGCCTCGATTACGTTGCCTATCGCTCATTGTGGGACGGCAGCGAAAAGGCATGAGACGGGCATTAGCTGCACTTCGACCGAGTCGTCGAGACAAAAGAGGAGCAGGCTTGAAAGTCTAGTGAGATTGAAGACGATTATAAATCTTTTTATGTGTGCACCTATTAGCGCCAAACTTTGCACACACACAGGTTTCAACACCGGTCTCCCATAAGCTAATTCTTGCGGCATTGTTTCATTCTAGGTTCACACTCAATCACTGATTTATCAATTTCCAAGAAAGATTGGTTTTTACCACTTGCTATCAGAGCACTTCCATACTTTCTTATACAAAAATGGGACTTATTTTTGCTCCACCAGAAGCCGTGTTACAAGACAGACAAAAGAAAGAATAAACGCAAGTTGTGTATTCAGAGCTACGCAGTTTTGCTTCTTCCGAGCCGGTTAGACTTAAGGGCGGGCCCGTAATGTCTCCCTGGTGGTGGTCACAGCGTTCGAGACATCGCAGTACTTAGTACATGTGGTTTTGGCCGCTATTCATCCGGCGGCTATCAGAGGATGAAATCGAGGGACGTGGTGACTTAAAACGGGTTCGTCTTCGTGCGCATAGGACAGCATGTCATGAACGTCGTCACTTGAGGGGCAGACAAAGATCTAGCGTGGAGATGCAGGAAGGCGCACTCTACTGGGGGCGGTCGAATACACCGATTTTGTCCTATGCGCAAGGACCGTGGGCACTTTGGTTCAACCAGCCAAGTGCAGTCGATATCAACAGCTGATCAGCGCAATCGGCGACGCGCTAAGCAGCAAATTATCCTTCTAAAGCTTATTCTGCTGGCTTTGCTTTGTAACCAAAAAATGTGAGTTTGTTTTTATTATCATGCATCAGAAAATTCTGCTCAGCCAACTTTTGTGGTTTTTGGGCGGTTTTCTTTGCTACATAAGCCGCAGGTCAGTCTCTCACAATTTTTACCTGCTTTAGTCGCAGTTGCTTGTTGTACGCTGTTGTCATAACAAGTCTATTGTTTTGTCCCCTCATTGGCCCGCGCACTAAAAGTTTTCCTTTCTGAGTAGGGAAATCATTTGATGTGTAACTAGAGGAACCGCAACCGCACATGACTGTACGTTTCGAACTAGTTATTTTTCATTTTTTTTGAATATTTTTTGTAAAATTCAGAAATTTTACGTTTTGCATGTTATTTAAACGTCAAAAGCTCCTAAATATTCATGAAGATCTTAAAATCATACGACAAAGCAATGAATTTCCAATTTCGTCTTTCTAATTCGCAAAAAACTGCTTCAGGTGGTAATTGTGCACGCAATGTCTAGCTCAGTAGCCTGCGACAGTGACACTATGCAATGCTGCACGGAACTCTTGATTTTTGTCTCTCATGTATTAGGTCGCTCCATAATTTCGTAGCTTTTTCATTTTCGTCCTCACTTCTTTGGGCGGTTGATATGTGGCAAAATGCGTATATCCTTAGAAAGGGCTGATTTTTTCTCCATATGTACCTACTAATTCGAGTGGAAAGCTGATTTACTCGGATCTCTTGGCCTGCAAGTATGGAAATCTTAAAAGGCAAGAAGGAGCAATTTCGACATCTGCGTATTTTTTCTCATAAAAAGAAGCGTTTTGCACAGAATTTTGCCGATTATGGAACATGCCGATTATGGATCAATCAATATGAGAAAAAATATTTGGATTGCAACAAAAGACGAAGGGTTGAGCAGGGTGTCCCTGAACAAGACTTTTCGGGGGATGGGCAGGACTCTGCACTGAAAATTGCTGGACAAGAAGACTATGCTGTATTCAAGCCAACTGCAACGTCTTAACGAGGTCATATCGCAGAAAAGCAAAAAGAGAGATTCAGTGAGTTTTTCTGTTTGACGAAACATGACCTCATACGGCAAATGTCGTTAAAATTGTCCTGCAAGAATTGACCAAGAAATACTTCAGTACCTATTGTACTCCTTAAACCTCGCTTTATCAAATTATCATTTGTTCTGCTCTCTCGCAAACTTTATAAATGGTGCATTTCAATTTCAATGAGTAATTTGAGCGCTGGTTAGATGACTTTCTTGGGACCCGGCGCGCTGCCATTTGTAAAATTGAGATGAAAAGCAGACAGGAATGCGGCAGAAAGTCGTGCGCTACGTCGAAGAATACATTATTGACTGATTTTTAGTGAAAATTGATGATTTTGTTGGGTTATGAAAACGCTACGAAACTTATGGAACGACTTAATACATATCGGAGGTGGCAAGTCCGCGGATGCGAGTCCAACGCAAGGAAAATCTGCTTATCTTTTGTTCGTACTAAATGTAAGTTGACCGCTACTGCGCGGCGGCGTGGCAGGAGCTCCCAAAGCCTCGCCGACTTTCCTTGCAGGAGTGATTAGCACCTTCAGAGAAACCTGGAAGGGACATCACACCTTCCCAGGTCGAGGAACGGCTCCGCCTTTTTCTCCGCTTTCCAAGTGCGCTCATTCTAGATTGTGCAAGCGCGTGAAATCTTTGTATTTATAAAAAGTGAGGACCAATTGAATCAAGCTGATTCGAGAAACCTCGTTATTTAAATGCAATCTTCTTTCAAACATTAGAAACAGTGAATGAATGCAAATAAATTCACAAAATCTTAGTTATCAGTGTTAAATATGTATTAAAGAAAAGTAAAGCAACACTTTTTAGCCACCTTTACCTGCTTCCTTGGAAATCTTTTGTTATGCTATGTTATAGATGATAGATGCTATATTACCTTGTGTCAAGCGCTCGAATCTCCGAACAAGAGAACGTGTCTAACAAGCGTCCAAGCACAAACATCCAAGCATATGAACAGCACATCAGAGTGAAGGAAAACCGAAAGCTTGTTACAAAATAATTTTTTTCTAATGTCAAATCTACGAAAAGTAGATTTCTAGCCTTCGATAAGTACAGTCATTTGAGAACTCGAACGCTGAATGCCCTTAGCCAGCATCTAAATTGGCAAAAAGCCATCTAATATTTAAATTTCGAAATATTCCAGTAGTATGACCGATTTTCTTCAAGAAAATTCACTAGTTATTATTCATTTATATACGTGAGCAGCCGATTTCTCATTCCAAACAATCAAATTTCCAAATGGAACGGTCCAGAGAGTGGCAATATTTTAGAGATAATTTTTTATATCTGAACTGCTAACCGCCAATCTGAGAAAAAAACTGGGCGCTGCATTCATACTAAAGTTCTGATACTAACCTGAATAAAGCGTACTTATTACTGAAGTTTGTAATCAGTGAAAATCACATGCTCATAGTTATTTCCTATAGTTCAACTACGAAATGGCAACTACTTCTTTTTTTCAATTTTTTCTTTCTCAGTACTTCAATTTCCGACTCTCTGTTCTCTCTACTTGCTCACCACACAATGAGAGCAGTTAATGGGTGGAGCAATGGGCGGTCCCTGACCTCTGAGATGCGGAGGTGCTAGAATCCTCCTGGGTGCGATTGATGGTGCGAACTTGGTGCGAGGAAAGGTGCTAGGAAGGTGCTAGGAACTCCTGCACGCCCTCCCTACTGCACTATGTGCCTTTGCTAAATCCTTTTGTTAATACACACGGTCATTCGTTGCCTATGGCAGTGACATGAGCACCGTAGGAGATTATCGAGGGGTTCAATCGCGCGTTACTAGAGTTTTCCGGTGATCAAGAATGGTTATGAGCAGCATGTATAGTTCATCACTTCTGACTTCGCTCTCTTTACATCATGACGTTAGGGTTGTTGTCTAGGGTTTTATTAGGACAGGGTATGCCAGTAAGTATCTAACGTACAAAGCTGAATTTCTGTCTGCCTATGTGTCTTCTGTCTGTGCGTGTGTCCGTACGTCTGCTCCGAAAACTCAGTTCTGTTTTGATCCGAATCAAACTTTGCACGCATCCTTTCTTTGCAAACTTTGCGCTGTAGGCTAAGAGTTAACAGATTCAGGTAACTGCTGGTAACGTTGGGTAAGATCAACTTCAAGAAAGTTCTTCCTCTTAACTTCTTCTGTTACCGGCACTAGATAAAATGCTGTTTTCAGCAAAAAGTACAATTGGCGTGGGTTTCTTTTCAACATGGAATTTTTGATCAACCCTTTTCAGTAGGCTAAAGCGAAAATGTACATCAAGTCGTATCATTCCAACACAATATCATTTGATCGCACTGTCGTTGATAAAAATAAGTCAAAAATTAGCGCCCTTAAAGAAAAGGTCTTTTTTTAGAAGAAGAAGAAAAAGAAGAATGTGGAGTCTTCCGCTCCTCTTCACCGTACCGGCGAACTTCTGCGTTTGATTACGATTGCATTTTTCCTTGTTTCAATATCTCAGCTGAGTGGCTTTCACTGCTGGTGAACGATTCAGAAGAAGCTCTGCAGTTTTGTAACATAAAACAATTTCCTTCAATCCCTTCCGTTGGAGAGTGGATCAAGGAGATCAAAAAATCTTATGCATCCAGTCCTAACTCGCAATATTATCATGGGAAATGCCCATGCCCGCAGGTAAAGGATTGCTACAACAGGGATACCATTATTAGGACAGTCTGCAACATTTCCGATAAAAGGGTGCTTCTCAAAGGCTTTGCTTTATATGCACTTGCGAAGCCTGCAGCGATGGATGACACATTAAATATGAAGGCGACAACAATGCCAACAGCAAAAACTGCCATTTCATCTGCGAGAAGTTTTTCCGAAAGCACAACCGAAGCTTCAACAACGACGGCAATTAAAAGGACAACAACAGCTACAACAGCGTCAACAACAAGATCGCCAACAACGTCTGCTGTTCCAATAACGATGGCTAGTGATGTTTCAGCGCAGATAGCATATACAGCAACATCAGCAACAACAACAACAACAACAACAATCTACCCAGACTCTTCTGCAACAACTCCAATAACAACCGCTATAATCTCGACATCAACTGCGATATCGAATCAAGCGACCGCAGCAGCAAAAACAGTTTTGACAACAAGCGCACCGTCATTGACAACGTTAAGTGCATTCTTAGATACAGCGCATCCATCAACAACGATTGTCTCTTCAGCCAGCACATACTCTTCCGCACCAGCTACTCCCGCAACAACAATGATGACTTCTTCAAGAACTCGAGCCGCAAAAAAGGCAACAACTTCACCAGGTTTTGAAACACCCGAAACAACAACAAATTCGACTTTATCAGAAATAGTTTCGACAACACCATCAACGATAGCAATCGAACCCACAACATCTCTTATAAGAGTCGCAACTCTAACAACGGCAACAATGACGTTTCCAACAACTCAAGCAGTAGGCAAAGCAGAAACAGTTTTGCAGTCAGATATATTTAGAACAACAAATACAAGTTCAAGTTCGACAGAAAGAATAGCAGCAAAAACAACAATAGGCACTTCACTTACAACTTTCTTTATGACAATTTCTACAACTCCGGAAAGAACGGCAACGACGTCCTCAAAACTAACAGAACAAACAACAACAGTTCCAAGAATGGTGTCACCAAAAACGACGATGACAAGTATAAATTCTACTCCAACGGCAACAATAGCAACGACAAAACCAACAACAACGAATGCCATTTTAACCACAACTTTTCCTAAACAAACCGCTTTAAATCCAACAATTTCGACAAAGTTTTCAACAATTCATACATCAGATGAAACGACAGATGTTATAGAAAGAAATGCATTCAAAACGACGTTGACAAATGTAGCTTCCTCTCCGGCAGCAACAGCAGGGACTATAAATTCAACAAGGAGGGTTGCCGTTCCACTTACGTTTCCCACAAAAACGACTTTGACGACTGCACCAACACTAGCAGCAACAGCAGCAATTACGTCTCTGTCAACAAATGCAACTATAAAGTTAACGAAAAATGCAAGTTCAACTGCAGAAGAGACGGCAACAGCGACAGCAATAGTAAGTTTACCAAACATCATTATTAACTCAGACACAACAATTTTCAAAGGACATGCATCACCTTCAACAGCTTCAGCGAGATTGAATACTGAAAACGCTTCTTCTGCAACGTTCACCAATCATACCTATCGAATTACTAATGTCTCTGCAAGTGAACTCGAAAATTTAACATCGACCACCAATAAAGAAACTACAGCAACAAATCAAACTCAATTTTCGTCTGTCGCTGCAGATTTGATTGAGAGCAGCAAAGTCAGCCGTGTCATTCACGCCGACTCAATCTCAAACGATGACACACAATTGTTTAGCTCCAAATATCAACAATCATCCACTGCCGCTTTTCAAAAGAACACATCCTTTTTACTGAATGTAAGCCTTCAGTTTAAGGAAGAGAGTATGCATCAGACTAAAGTGACGTCAGAGCAATCAAGTGATCCAATAGAATCAAGTGACACAACTTTCTCAACTCCGAAAATCTTTGAAACTCGCCACCGCCATTCTACCGCCACGATAGAGAAGATGAAATTTTCTTCTTCATTAAAAATCCAAGGATTGGCGAGCAGTACTGTCATTTTTGATACAGAAAAAAATGGATTCAAAAGCTCATTAAGAGCATATCTTCCAAGCACCAAAAATGCAGGTCCTATCATTTCGAAGGCATATACAACGGCAATAGAAGGTACAAACAAACTAGAACCAGGTGAGTCATCTACACCAATCATATCATATACTGCATCAAGATATTCAACATCCATCAATGAAGCTGGTTCGGATTCCAGTCTTTCCTTATCTGAAACTTCTATGAAATCTCCTTCTGATACGCGTACATATGCTACAACGTACTTGTCAAAGAGCAACCTCTACTCCAGCAGCGTCACATCACAAGAAACTCCAGCGCAGGAGACTTCTTCTAAGAGGCAACTACCATCGACCACTTTTTTCAGAAAAACCTCTTTGACAATCACATCCAAAGAGTTTTCTTCGCGAGCATCCAGCAGCAAACCTATGATGACAGCGCTCCTTGCGGCAAACGATGCTGAAGAAGATGTCTTTGGTAGAAACACGCCTAGCACTTATTCATCATCGACTAGCAAAGGCTTAGTTACATGGAGCGACCTGCGCACTTTGCCTGAGCATCCCATAAAAATTCAGTCTTCCGATACGCCTAGCGGAACAAGCGGTGAGCATTTGCAGAACATTGAAGATAACAGCATTATTACTTATTTCAGCCTTTGAACAACTCGGCAAGGTCTCAACACATCCAGATCGAGCAACGTCGCTTAAGGAAATGATCCAAATGCAGACTTCTCCAGATTCAAGCTCAAGAACTGCAATCGATGATGTTACGCAAGAAATGGAATCTGAGAAAACTGCATTGCAGACTTCATCACCGATCAACGACTTTATCAAAAACACGGAGACCTTTGCAGAAAAGACAAACACAGCCAATCTTGGTGCAAATGTGTCAGAGTCCGGATATGTCAATACCACAATCACACCAAGCTCTTCATTTTATTCCTATTTTTTCAGTGGCAGTCCAAGTTGGCAAGATATTCGAAAAAGTTCGGAGACAAAAATAACTAATGCAACGCTTTTTTCAAAAATTTTTGAGTCATACATAAGTTCGTTAAGCCCGCCTTATTCGCTATATCTAAACAGAAAGTATGTGAGTGCAATCAAACCGACCGTTGATAGCTACGATGGCGCATCTGCAGCAATGAATTACGCTTCATCGTCTTATTATGGAACATGGACATTTTTTCAACATTGGAGCACCGCTGAGTACTTCCTTACATCACCTTCCTCGCCGTCCATAAAGAAAGCAAGTTTTTAAGATCCTTAATCTTGAATTGAACTGTATCGGAATTAGGTCGTCCCAGATTCGTTTTCGTTTCTTTTTCGACGGCTACCACGAATCGCGGAACAGAGATTCAAAGAAGACCTTGGGAGCATTCGATGCAGTTTCCCATGCTCTTTCAAATGATTTTTTCTGATCTTTTCTTTTCTGTTGCTGTTCAGCAAACAAGCCATTGCCAAAAACCACGACCTATGCTCGTTGTCAAACTCAAGTTTCGCAATTTTTTGATTTTTATACTGCTTCCTCAAAGAACCCCATGTAACAGATAAATAGAACAAACCCAGTAAGATGCAACCATTTTTTCCTCCTTAGCTTAATTAATGAAATTGTCAAAATTATCTTTCTGGTGACACCAAACATATTCGGTCAATTTAAACTCATAGAACATCAACCGGCGAGCAACTCTCTTTCTGACAGATAATTTTTTAAATCGCGAAATCATTGAAATCCTTGTTCTTGAGGGTGTCTCAAGCTGTACCCGATAAGATTCAAGATTTCATATTACGAATCCATGACGCTCATTTGTTCTGCAGAATTAGTGCTAAATCGTAATCCGCGTTTGAAAGTATCTTATAACTGAAATACGATTGTGTTGTTGAAAATTCCATCAAAAAGTGGCGTTTTGTGGGGAAAAAAGCAAAATTGTTCTGTGTCCTACGGGGTTTGCTCTATTAATCCTTACATGAACTTCTTCGTGGTATCACTACAAAAATTTGAAAAAATAGTGAAACTTGGGCTTGGTAAAAACCATAGAATGTGGATTTTGGTAACTTTCTGAGAGCTCTCTTGCTAAATTGCAGCGTAAAGAAAATCATCTGAAACAGCCTGAAAAACTGCATTGAATGCTACCAAGACCATTTATAGAACTTTGTTCCGCGGAATGTAACGCTTGTTCGGAGAAAACGAAACTACTTTCGGGACGATCCAATGGTTAGAAATAACGTGACTCTAGTAGCAAGACAATTAGATTACGAATATTAAGTTATTCGTACTGCTGCACATCGCAATTTTAAAGTTCTTCAATGCTTTCGCAAGTGTTTGTATATGCTTAAACATGCGGCAAATTGTAAGCTTTTTTGAACGAAAAATCGTTCTGTGGGATTGTGGTAGCTGTGTGCATAGTGGATATTCGTAATAAGCACAATCATCAAAGTGGCATGCGTGAGGTCACAATTAAGGAACACCATACTTTTGCGCAAATTGTTAAAGCTGGCTCTGAGTACGTCGTACACGCAATGTGTGACTGGCATTGTCAGCATGTAATGCCGATTTCCTCAAACCATGATTTCTATTTTATCGCTAACTGAAAATAACGCGATGGATCCATCAACTAAACAGACATATTCCAAGGATGCGTCAAAGGTAATAAGAACTTTACATTGTTCGTGATTTGTCCTCGAATCAGACAGAATATTGATATACAAGCGCTCTAAACTGTGCTTGACCTAATCTTTTTCTCTTTCAAGTCTCTCTTCCTCTCTCACACTCAAAATGATTCCAGAAGTTTTGGACATAAAACTTCCACTGTTCTATATAGTCGCGTAGCCGTCGAAACCTCCGAACTGTGGTGCTGCAGCGACCATTCTATTAACAAAATCAAGTTTTAATGAAACTTTTTTCTTTCCACTAAAGTGAAGTCAAAGTTGTAGAGTTGTACCCTCGAAAAGTTTTGCTATATCTGCGGGTAATGAGTTCTTCCTCAAATATTTGGAATAATATTTGAAACGAAAACTTGGAAGAAGTTAAAGTGTCTGTGGAACACAAGTCTAAAAGCTCTTAGGTTTTCTAAGAGTTTCCAAAACAGTTCCCCCCTGTTTTGCTGAAAAACAGAAGAAAAGCCGCGTTGACGTTTAGAGTGCTTGTCCACATTATAATTTCCTTTACCTAATACGATGTTAATCACAGTAATCAGTGCAAACAAACATTCCAAATAGTGGATATCTTACACATCAGGAGGAACTCCCCTCCCCTCCCCATATTTGCACTAAACAACAATACCTGGCTGTTCAGTGCCTATACCTATTGCTAGAATAAGTTGTCATCTGATTACCAATGTAATGCCTTGATTCGCTCAAGCAGTTACCAGCTGCCGTTTTCGATGGTAAATTTTGACTTGTAGAAAGAAGCGATAATCGCGTTTATGTCCCTTGCATTTCCTCAACGTTCAATTAGACGGCCAACGGTGCTTCAAAGATTTTTTTACACTATTGCCCCCCTCGTCGTTGCTTGGTAATAGAAGTAAATCCTTACTTGATGTATATAGAAGAGATGCAGTTCATCTGTCGATTTCCTCAGATTTTGAGTAATCAAAAATTGCATGATATGCAGGGTGTCCCAAAAGTAAGTACAAACTTTTCAACCGTTAATATCTCTCTTCCCATCGTGTCTTTTTCCGCCAATCAGGTAATATTGTGTGGAAGAGGCTTCAGCTTAGATTTACAGTGCCGAGCGAATCACCGATCGCTCTTCATTAATATAGGTTTAGTGCAGGAACTTCGACAAAGATTTTAGAACATTGGAAGCCATACTATGCCTCGGAACAAAACCAAACAAGCCAAAACCCTTACACTAAGGTAATGGAAAGCGCTAATTTCGAACGTGTAAATTCCACTTCACTTGATGCTTCTCTCCAAGTTATTTCAGGTAAACCGTAATAACCGAACTCCCAGTAGTTGTCAGAAATGTGATTACACCGTCGAAAAAGCTAAAAACACTCGTAAAAAAGCTGTGTAGTGGAATCAGCGTGGGCGAAAACCCTGATACACGATCTCCCAAATTATTTGAAATAAATTTTGTCAGATGGCATATTTCACGATAGTTTCACATGCTGGAAGTTCTTATCGTAATCCTATCGTAATTAAGAGCGATCGGGCCGGTGATTCGAATGATAGTGTAAGTCTAAGTTGAAGCCTCCCCTGCACAATGGTACTTAACTCACAAAAAGAACCCATTTCGAAGAGAGATATTGACAATTAAAAAGTATGTACTCACTTTTGGGATACCCTGTATGTTGTCGTCGTGGCGTCTTTGCAGTAATACATAGGGCTTGGCAACAGCCAGTGAAATCTTTCGAAGCGAAGCCACGCCTGTTTGATTTCGCAAAGTAGTACAAAGTCCTCAAAGTTCTTTTTTGATCTTTTTGGAGCTTTTTATTGCACCTTACTATTCTTTTGTATATGTGCTCAAGCTTAGAATAAGTGGTAAGAAACAATACCTCTTGACCATTTGTTCCACCAAATATCTTTCAGTCTTTTCAAATCCCTCTGTCGGCATGTGCCGAGCGCGTTGTACTTCATGATACAATGTCACGGTAACCCAACGCATCCGGGCCTCCTCTGTCACTTCTCCCCACCTTCCCTTTTTCACTTTACACTCCCCCTCCCCCTCCCTCTTTGCCTCCTCCACCTTCCCTTCTTATCGGTCACAAATGAGAGACGAACTAATAATTACCACTTGAATGGACTAGAATTCAAAAAGAAACTGAAAAATAAAGCAAGCATAATGAAACAGCGAAGGTTCGCTGGAAATGAAACATTCGTTAACAGGCGCGCTCACAGTCGGAGCAGGATCGCGCTGCCAGCGAAAATTTTCAAGGAGATAAAAAACGTTGACGAAGCGTGAAAATATTTGGCTTAGTTCGGGAACCTCCAAGACGCAGTTGCAATCCACGAAAAAATCGCGAGGACTTACATGAACAAAAGTTGTGTTAAAACACAGTTTGTACTCAGCTGGAACGGTCCCAGATTCCGAAAAAGTATGGCACTTTTTCATTTGCGTTAGTTTTTATGAACTTTTCAGCCAGTTCGGCTCGATCACGGGCATGTACCAAGCTTGGTATTTTGCAAAAGTCCATTAGCCCTAAATATACACGTCTGAGATAGGAAATTATCATTCTGATTGCATTGAGTTGGTGAACATTAGTTCTGTTTCAGTCCGACTCTGTTGAAAAGGGTACAGGAACAGTATCTAGTGGAGCAACAGTATATCACTCATCGACATCTACTACAGGTATTTGGAAAAAAATTGGACAATTCTTTGTAAATGCTCACCCTAGGATTACTGAGTCGTCCTCAAAATCTATGTACGGCTGATTACACCGAAATCTCAGGAGCTTGCTATCGCATTCTTCCACCAAAGGCCTCTGCAACATATAAAAGAGTGAGCATTTTTTAGTAAAGTGGGGAAGGGGGGTCACAGATCAAATAACCAAGAATGCCTTCAGAGTTAAACTCTAATGCTGGAAAGTTGTTTTAAAAGGGCAGCATGGACAGCTTCACCCATTAAGTGATGCTTGTGAAATACTATCTAGAAATGATTATTGGAATAAGACTGTCGAATTTGTATTTTACGAAGACAAAGTCTCCATAATTTACTTATTTTGAAAAGTGTTTTCCTACTCAGTACTTTCACACCATCTATTAGGTTGTCCCGAAAGTTTTGTCGGTTTTTTCATCGCTCACCAAACCTCACAGAACATCAATTAATGGACGGCCTAGGTGTAATTCTATTCATTTTTATATCTTTTTTCTTATAGCTTTATTTGTTCCCTGATCTACTCCGTCTTTACGATGTTATCGCCATGGCTTTTTGAGCACCTCAGCAGTAGCGCCAAAACTTTCCTGAACTTTTAAAATTTTTGTCTTGGTATTTTCGATGGCGCTGGTGACTATTATGTAGGGCAAACCTTTGGCTACATTGTACCTGTTTTAGATTACGTGGGCCACGT